TTATATGTGCTCACCATAATGTCTTTAGCTCCTTCTGTAAAACCCTGGCACCTGGTAGGCACTCAATAAATATTTGCTGAATGCATGAAAACTGGAGTTAGATATTGTTGCTATTGCGTTTCTCCTTAAACGTGTTCTGCAGTTGGAAATGAGCAGGGACACAAATACTGTTCTTCCTTCCTTCTCCTTTTCCCACTTCTGTGATGGAAAGTTATGCCTATGTTAGCAGCAGTTTTGTTTTCATTACCACATTTTATAATGTTTAGGATAATTGAAAGATGGCATTTGATGATCAAAGAGTGTTGCTTGGCAGTTTATGACTAAAGAAGTTTTGGTACTGGAAATGCATTGTTAATGTTAACTGTTGAATTTGTTTTTCCATTAGGTCGTTCACAGAGACTTGAAACCTAGCAACATTCTTTATGTGGATGAATCTGGTAATCCAGAATCCATTCGAATTTGTGATTTTGGTTTTGCAAAACAGCTGAGGGCTGAAAACGGTCTTCTAATGACTCCTTGTTACACTGCAAATTTTGTTGCACCAGAGGTAATTGTGTGAGAGTTTGCTTGCAATATTATCAGTATATGAAAAAGCCATTTACTCTGTTTCGTCTGGCATAATTAATAATACGTGATTGAAGACTTACTGAACAAATAATTAGAAGAACATGCTAACCCCTTTTCTCCTTGAGTTGGTAGTTTATCCTCTCACCATTCCACTAGGACTTGTAATCCATCTCTTGTCCTAATTTCTCTCTTTCTGCATAATCAGTTTTCTGTGGCGTTAGAAGAAAATGCCAACCCCTTTTCTTCTTGGGTTGGTCACCAGTACCCACTACTTGTAATCCATCTCTTGCCACAACTTCTGTCTTTCTGACTAATCACACTTCTGTAGCCATCTGCTTTCACTAAAGTTTTGTGCCTCTGTGTGCCATTCAGCTGAAACTGGGTGACACTCCTCATTCCCTAATCCCTTTTCTGTTTCCCTGTTATGTCACCATCTTCCTGTTTTTTCCACAGGCTAACATTTCTTGTTTAGCTTACGACTTCTTTCATCTCCTGAAACCAGTTCTGCCATTCTAGCCCAGGCTTTCATCCCCACCCCACAGATGACTTCTGTAAGCTAGTAGGTGCAGGCTTTCCCCACTTCTTGTTCTGTGATCATTCCTGACATAAGTACAAAGCTATGCAAGTCGTCTTCCACCACTATTTGATGAAGTTCCTCATTTTTCTAAGAAAGTGTAGTTCCCAATTGTATTGTACGTATGTATGTAAAGCAAAATATATATAAGTATCAAAAAGGTAATAATCATTAACCCTATGAGCTGGGCAAATACAGTAGCCAATTTTATTGTTAGAACAAATGGTTTACATACAGTAATTTATTCTCATTGTGAGTATATGAGGTGAATAATACTTTGGTTGGCGTTCAAGCAACCTGATTCTTGAAATTACCGTGCATTCCCTCCTTGGAATGTTTTTCTTTCAAAATCTGCTCTCAGTTCATCTTTGGAAAATCAGCCATGATTAAAATCTTCCTTAGACTTAACCTTCAACTGACTCCTCATCTTCCATTTCCCATTTAGTCACCCCAGTCATAACTTTGAAGTGCTCCTACAGTCCTCCTTCAACAACATTTCTCCACAGCCAAACTGTCACCAAAATCTTCCCATTCTGAATCCTAAATATTTTAGACCTCTTTTCCCTTACCTTAGGTGTCCAATCTATACCAAGCCCATCCAGCTTTATCCAGAGAAATGTTTTCCTGTTTCTTATATACTGCATCATGCAACTCTTCACAGCCTTTCACATAGTTTGGTACAAATTGCCTTTTATTGGAGGTCCTTGTCTCTAGTCTCTATTCTTTCCAGCATTACTCCATTCTTTGAGTATCTTTAGTTTTTCTGTTCAGTGCTTCAGTCACATCTGATTGCCTACAGGAGAAAAAAAAAATCTAAATTCCCTAACAAAACACTTATCAAAGCCCTTCAGTCTCTCTACTGTTGACATCCTCTGCTTACAGCCCCAGCCCCACTGAACTTCTTATCTAGCATTAATCATCTGCTCCCCGTTGAATGTCCACTGCCCTCCCCCACCTCTCCCTTTTGCTTACTGAATTCTTCCTTACAGGTCCAGTATGAGCAGCAGCCTGCCCTCTCTCCCCATATCAAGAAGATGTTGCTTACTCACCTTTATACCCACAGAACTTTAGATATAATTCTGTTATAATACATATCACATTGAATTGCTACCTATTTATATGTTTATTTTCCCTGCCAGATCCTGATTTTCTTAAGGGCAGGAAAAATTGTTTTGTCACAGTTCATGCCCGGTAGTTATGAAGTTGTTGAGTGAATCAAATTACAAACATACATACATATACACTGTTTTGTACTATATCATTTTTCTAGGTTATATGTCTTCTTAAAAGTATTGTTTTATGTAACAATTTCAGTAGCCCCATACAAAATAGAAATTCATTAAAATAAGACACTTAAGTTCGATTGATTTTAGATTCCTCTCTGTATTTGCATATCAAAATTAAATTTTTGTCTCTATAAAGTTAGTATTTATTACAGGTTCTAGAATACAATTAATATATTACCTTATTTATTAATCATGTTTTATTGAAGTTTTTCTTACATACATTGATTTGGGAGATATAATTCCATTCCCAACCTATCCAAATCTATGTAACAAGCAGTGTTGTGGGAATACTAATTTCTCCTTCTCCAGGTTTTGAAACGACAAGGTTATGATGCTGCTTGTGATATATGGAGTCTTGGTGTCCTCCTCTATACAATGCTCACTGGGTGAGTGGGTACTGTATGTTGTAAGCATTTAGCCCTTGATATTTGGTTGAAATTATCTAAGTCTTTTAATCTCTATGTTGTTACATCTTTCTTTCCATGTTTTTCTTCATGTTATCTAATAGATACAATTAATTACTGTCATCAGTTTTCCAAAATGTATTATTTATTAATATCTTGAAGTCTTAAAATGTTTCCATACTTTTTTCTAGTCTTACTTGTTATATCAGAAACATACTATTTTAAACATTTTATTGTATAAGATGTCACATCTTAAAATATTTATATTCTTGTATCTTAAGACTAATTAGTATTTCCTAAATTATACCCATGCTTCATGGATCTTCATTTTCTAGATTTTTTCACTTCAGTAGATTTTCATCATTAATAATTTAGTAATATTATGAATTATTCAGAGCACTTTGGGGCAATGAATGTAAACATAGGTACGAACTAAAAATGAAAATTTACTCATGAACATTTTAATTTTATTCTATTAGTTACACTCCTTTTGCAAATGGCCCTGATGATACCCCAGAGGAAATACTGGCACGGATAGGTAGTGGAAAGTTCTCACTTAGTGGTGGTTACTGGAATTCTGTTTCAGACACAGCAAAGGTGAGTGTGACTTGCTATCATAAACTTTTGAGAAAATAATTTTCTATAATCCCTGGTAACAGGAATAAATTAGTTAGCAACTTTTGGTTACAATGTAGTATTTTGAAGTGATATTACCAAATGACTTGAACTCAAATGCACAGATTTCATAAACACTACCAGGCTAACTGCTCTGATAAAGACTGGTGGAGCCCCCAAGACCATGGCCCTTAGACAACTGTCAAGCTAGGAACTGAACTTAACCCCCGTGACTCAATTGTCAGCCAAAAGATAGGCAGGCCTATCAGGTGAACAGTGATACCAGGAGGGTATGCACTCATTAGAATAATCAAGCATACCAGACCAAGAAGATAGCAGTTGCCCAGGAATAGAGCAAGAAAGGTGGGAAGGGATGAGAGAAGGAGGGTGAAGGAAAGAGGAAGTGGGAAGAATGCTGTTACAGTATATGGATTTCTGTAAATGTCACAAAATAGAATGTATGGATTGTTGCATGGAAAACCAATTCACTCTGTAGACTTTCACCCAAATCACAATTTTTAAAAACATGGCCAATTTTTTGTTTGTTTCTTTTCCTGAAGATAGTGATTTGGCCTTACTTACTACTAAGCTCTTTTTCACTAACAAACATGATTAATATTAATGGTAGTAGTCTTAACACTTTATCTAAATTATCCTATTTAATCCTTATATAAGAACACTGTAAGATGGGTCGAAGTATCTCCATTTCGTAAAAAGAAACCAATGTCCAGAATTTTAGTGACAATTTGTCCATGGCACTTTAAACTAAATATCTCATCCCAAAGCCTTTGTTCTCTAGAATAATGACACCACGTTATCTGCAGTCTTATTCGCATTCACTTGCATTTCAGTATGCTTACTTGACTCCAAAAGAGATTAGAATACAGACACAAATAGAACACATGAAATTGTACCCAACTCACAGCTTGTCATAAATTCAATAGTTATTGCTAATAACTTTGACTACTACATACAGTTAAGACTTGTAATTACAAGCATGCTGTAATGATGATGACTACACACAAAATTGGCAGGTTGGGTTGCTCTGTCAAGTTGATGTGTACCTACAAGAGCATGTTGCATATGTGAATGTCATCACTGAAATAATTTATATGTGTCATACGTGGCTTGGACAAGAACGGGACCATAACTACCATTTATAAAGCACTTATTTGTCAAGTACCATACTAATGCTTTTCCCTCCACTATTTCATTCAGTCCTCACTGACCAAATATTAGGAATATTACTTGTAAGGCTTTACTTGTATTATTTCAGGTCATGAATGATGGGGAGCTAAACTAGAGCAGTTGTAGTAAGATTTGAACCAAGTGCCTAAGAAATTTAGGAGGCAGTATAGACTTGGTAGTTTATTGGACATAAAAGTAAGATAGAAACAGATGTCAGGCATTCAGTCGGTATTGCTGCCTTTGGTAAATGGGTTTTTTTCTACCTGAAGCACTGTTTCCCCTTCTCTTCTCTAATCTAGCTCTTGCTTAACCTCAGAGCTTGCCTTCCCTTTTTGTTTTGTTTTGTTCTTTTTCTTTTGTGGTGTGTATTTATTTAAATTTTTACTGGGATTTGAGTGAAAGTTTACAGACCAATTTAATTTTCCGTACAGCAGTTCATACACATCTTGTTTTTGACACTGACTGCAGTCCCATGCAAAGTAACAGCTCTCTTCCCATTTCCCTCCTGTAGTCACCTCTTCCCTGTGTCCTTCTTTCTTGCCTATGCATTATTGTTCCCCTAGCTGTCTCCCTGTACAAACACTGCCCTTCTGTCCATTGATCATTCTAAGGAGTGTATCTACCTGATATAAATGTTTACCCTATATGCCTATCTGTTGTTTGGCTGGAAGCCACAGGAGTGACTTGAGTTCAGACCTGAAGGGTAACTAGGACCCTGACTTAACTGGAAGCTTCATGAAATCAGCATTCATGTCAGTCTTGTTCATTTGTACCCAGTGCCTTGCAGAATGCCTGGCCTTTAATAGATACTCAGAGATGTTATCAGACTCTAATAAACCTGGTATTTTTTATGATTTTAAGTTTTGTTCCCCATTGTTCTCTCCCACTTCCCAGGATCTCCTGCACTGATCCCTTTCTGAGTGGTTGACAGAGGTAGCTCTAGGATCCATCTAGCTCTTGTGGTCTCATAGTCATACAGGCTGAGGTTTGCATTGTCTACTATTCCCCTGGACTAATTGTTTCCATGAGTCTTTGGTTTTCTTTATTCTTCTTTGCTCTGGATAAGGAGAGACCATTGTTGCAACTTAGATGACTGCTTGCAAGCTTTTAAGACCCCAGTCTCTACTCACCAAATAGGATGTAGAACAGTGTTTTTGTGTAGTTACGAGTATTGAGCTTGATGTCCCCTTGGACCATGGTTCCAATCGCATAGGTCAACAACTCTGCCTTCCTCTTAAGAAATACCTTGTAAAGCACCCCAATCAGTTTAGGTCAAGTGTGTCTCTATGTTCCTCCAGCTACACCTCATATTTATTCATCCCATCAAAGAACTTCTTACTTGCTTTGTCATGGCTTCTTTGTTTTTCTCAAATACATACCCAGGGCCTTGCAGAATGCCTGGCCTTTAATGGATACTCAATAGATATATTTTGAATGAAAAAACTAAAGTGGTAGATGGTTTTTAGCTTGGGTGCCTATTTGCAATTTATATCACAATATGTTAACTTTTTAAAAGTAAAATTAGAGCTACTTCCATAATGATACTGCCTCAGAAACCCAAGGAGGGGTTGCTATGAGTTGAGTCCAACTTGATGGCACATAACAACAATAATGTGAATATATGTTACATGCACAGAAAGCATTTGGATAGACTGTTCACAGTGATTATCTCTTGAAGGGTGAGATTATGGGTGTTCCTCATGTTCTTATGCTTTTCTATGTTTCTGTAATTTTTTGTAAATGTCTATGAGTTGCGTTTTAAGTAGAAAAATATTTAAAAGAACTCTACAGTCTTTTGGGGTATATTTAGAGTCCTCTAATTAAATTCCTATTTTTGCTCATTTATGTTCTGCTTTTCAGTATTACAAACAGCATAAAAAAGAGCCAAAGTACTTAAAGGTACAAAAAATGTTGGCACCCCTGTCAACCACTCAGAGGGGAATCTGTGTAGGAGAGCCTGGATAGAGGGATAGAACAATGTGGAACAAAACTCAAAATTATAAAAAATAAAAATGTGACCAGGTTTGCTGGTCTGATAGAGCCTAGTGAAACCACTGAGACTATGGCCCCTGGCTGCCTTTCAGGTCTGGAATTGAACCCACTCTTGTGGCTTCCAGCCAAACAAAAGACAGGCATATGAGCTGCACATTTACATTAGGTAGATACACTCCTTGGAGAGATCAGTCATAGGAGAATAGAAGAGTTGTGTATGCACAGGGAGAGAGTGCAGAGGGCAGGAGTGCATGGGAGGGAAGGACACAGGGAAGAGGTGGCTATGGGGAGGAAGTTGTAGGAGAGCTGTTGCATTGTGGGAAATTGCAATCAATATCATGAGACAGTGTATGCAAACTGCTATATGGAAGATGAATTTGCTCTGTAAACTTCCACCCAAACCACAAAATTTAAAAAAAAAAAGATGTTGGCAGATCTGCTGTTTGTAGTGTATCAAAATACTGTTACTCAGTGGGGACAAAACTGACTGAGGTACACCTTTTCCTGACTTACCAACATGTTGTCCAACACTTCTCATTACTGACAATAGTAAACACTCTACTATCTATTGTGTGCATTAACATCATACATCTGGCAGGAACAAATGCCGAGGTTCAAGTCAAGAGCAACACACTGATGGTAAGGCTCTGTGTCACTTTGGCTAGGCCATGATTCTCGATGGTGTGACGGTTTTGTAATGATGTAGTCCTCCTCCCATTTGTGATCTGAGGTGATCACCCTCCATTTTTGCATAATATCAATTTTCACATAATAAGCTGGGCTTTGGAACCTACCTGTGTTGTAAATGACAAGTGTGTGTATTATTACCAGACCAAATTGCTTTGAGCTAGAAAGTCTGTCACTAGGAAAAAATAAGTTCCTTGGAAGCTTTAAAAAAAAAAACATTGTGCCAACCAGTACCTAGTGCTAAAGAAAAGTGGGCAAATATTTATTTATTTATTTATTTATTTTTAATTACTATGACCATTGCAGGACTTGGTGTCAAAGATGCTTCATGTAGACCCTCATCAGAGGCTGACTGCTGCCCTTGTGCTCAGACATCCCTGGATTGTCCACTGGGACCAACTGCCACAGTACCAACTCAACAGACAGGACGCACCCCACCTAGTAAAGGTGTGTGATCCCATTAAGTCAGTACTGGACGGGCAGTTCTACCTAATGTGGGTCACTATGAATCACAAACAACTTGTCGGCAACAGGTTTGGTTTTGGGTTTTGTTGAAGTAGGTATTTACCATAAATAAGGACAGAGAAGCTTACGGATTGCCTCACTTTTCTTTACACTCCAGTTGCTTCTTAGGTCCTCTGGAAAGTAACCTCCTTGAGTTAGCAGTGACAGTACACAGGTTTCCAAAAAGCAACCCTTGCTGCCTTTCATCCTAAAGATATGCAAAGAAGTAAAAAGAGTCCTTAGAAAAGGAAGACTGCTTGTTAGGAGCCTACCCTGCCCTCTCTCCTATATCATTTCAACCTCCGATGTTGGTCCCTGCCATTTTAGTGCATTCTGGGCCTTTGACCACTGTGATTGATTTTCACTATGAGCTTTATCTGTATCAGTTTGCATATGATGAAATGATCTGAAATCTACATTTTGTATTTTGGGTACGTGAGACTACCCCATGTCATTTTTTGTTGTTGCCTTTCTTTCCTGCTCTTAGGGTGCCATGGCAGCTACGTATTCTGCTTTAAACCGTAACCAGTCACCAGTTTTGGAACCAGTAGGCCGCTCTACTCTTGCTCAGCGGAGAGGGATTAAAAAAATCACCTCAACAGCTCTGTGAAGTGACCTCAGTGAATTACTTGGTACCATGGTGTAAGCTGATAGCACAAGTTCTGGCGACAGGTAGCACATATCTGAGAGACACCTGCAAGCACACACTGTCCCAGCTGGTACCCATAATGCTGCTGCTCCTGCTGCTGCTCCTGCTTTCGTCTCTTCTCGCTTTAAATGATTGTTAGCAAGTTAGATTTTCCTGGAGCTTCGAATGGAATGAAAATGGAAACATGATGGAGATATATTCACTGAATCAACAAGAAAAATGAACACATGAATACCACCTAAAAATACACTGAATAAAGTACTCTACACCATATAGCATTATTTTTATAGGAAATATTTTATGTCCCTTAAATATTCTTTGTTAGTTTTAGGGATGGACAGTTTATGTTAAGCACTTAGCTTAAACAATCTGTTTATATTAGCACTGTATCCTTTGTGCCATCCAACATTTTGTATGTTTTTGTAAACAGTTCATATACAGTACATTTCTGTACTGCTTTCTTTAATGTATACATGCCTTGTTTAACTTGGAATCTATTATTATTAATCAGTCAATTATTAAATCTGGTTAAATAGTTCACCTGGATTAACAGTATTGTTGGACAGCCCTGAAAATGGCCAGATTGTGGAACAGCTGTTGAATGTAATCCTTTCAAAATGTACATATCTTTCCCCATGTCTGTTTCACTGGTTTGTGTTTGTTCCTTAAAATCGGGTGCTCTGTCAGACTAACCTAGAGAGCTGCAGGGGAGGGAAAGTTATCATATGTGTGTGGCATGATATCAAGGGTATACCTATGAAGTTAGTCCATATGCTTTGCATCTCATTTGAGTTCTTTTTCATTAAAGAAAGTCATCCTTTCATTTTAATCTTAAGCATTAAGTATTTGGCATATAATTTGAAATTTTGACAATATCTATCAAGGGCCTTTAAGAATCATGGTGAAGAGATTGGCAATGAAAAATTAAGCCACAGGTAATTAAGGTGCCATTGGATATTTCATGTTCAAGTGGATACTCTATATTAAACATTAATTTGAATGGAATAAATACCACACACCTCTATATTAAATTGGGTTTTAAACTTCATTATTCTAGGGAATAAAACATTCTTGATCAAACCCTATCTGTTCTAACCTGAAATCATAGCTAAGGTAGGCTAAGTGAATGTTCATCATTGAGTGTTTTCTGGATCCTTTCTGATGATCTATAGCCAAATGATGCTGCTTCTGAATTCAGAATTTATTAGTTTTCATAATGGTCACCTCCTCTGCTTAGATAGCTGTATGTATTCATTATCTACGTATAATTTGGTAGTTGCCACAACTTTATTTGATTAAAGAAATCTCTACCTGATATTACCTGTATCTTTGCCAAGCTGCGGAGAATGCGTGAATACATCAATACATCATGTGAAAGACATGAAGAAGAAAAAATGTATTTCACTTACCTCATCAATAGTGTGCCCAAACAGATCTTTTCTTGTTCATGTACTTAAACCATTTACATCAGACACCTTTTTATTCTGGTAGAAACTCTCAATCATCCCCTAAGAGTACAAAGCAGAAAGAATGTAGTTTACTGTTTTGGAAGCCATTTGTCATTCCTTAATTTCTCCTCTATACAATTAAAGGGAAAGTCTACAATGTTCCTTTTGCCCAAGTGACACAAAATAATTATTTCAGAGAAATCAAATGTTAAGTTTATCTAGTAGATTAAAAATATAGAGGAAGATTGCTATCAGAAGATGTAGATAAAGTTTTTTTAAAAAAACCATTCTTGAGTATATGGATTATGGATTCTATTGAAGCTGCTTTCCTTAACCTGGAAAGAAAGCTTTACCTGGCCCCTTCCTTCATTGTTGCAAATCATTCTCAGCCAAAATGTTGTCAGTTTAAAAATGTTAAGTCTGGGCAGGGAAAAAAGATTTTCAGATATTTATTGACACTGATGTTACTCCAAATGTGTATAGCTATATTTTCCATCATAGTCTTTTAAAACTGGGAGTAAAAGTATTAACCCTTCTAACTTATCCTGGTCCTGCTTTCGCATACTGCATGTAAAGAACCAGAGACCCACAGCAAAGACTAGAATCCTTAACTTCTCAATTCATTATTTTCCCTCATAACAACTTTCTGCCTTACCAACATATCACCACCTGACCACCAGTTGCTTGAGTTTGAAACTACTTATTTGTTGGGGCAATCCTCAACAGCTCAAATAATTCCAAGTGAAGGCTTTCAAAGATAACACCAATTTCCATAGTCAAGCTGTCAGTTTTATTGGAGAAAACAATTTATATATTCACAAAACTGAAGGCTTTCAGCCAAAAAAGCAGTCTATGAACATAGTTTATTTCATCTGCTTCTGGCTTACAGTGGAACAGACTTGGCCAACAATGTCCTCCAAATATAGTGCTTGTGATGAGTTAACTGTTCCATTAATTTCTCTAAGTCCCATCACCCAGGCCCCTAATGTGGTGGTATTGAGGCATTTGTAGGCTTCCACCTCTGATCAGTTGGTGCTGCTAGTCATTGGGGCTTCTCCCAAGAGGTTACGATCCTGTCTTAAAGATCTTTCATTGTGAAAGAACAAACTACCAGTCATCTTTTACAAACATCCTCTTAGTTTAAAAATCCAAAATGATAGATTGCATTTAACATTGCCAAGGCACATACTGGAATCTCCTAATTACAACACCATGTATCTTTCAAATGATGGCGCTAAATGAAGGTAAGTGATTTTTTTGGGGTTTTTCCCCCTTACAAATCATTTTGGCTCTTTTTGTTTTATAGTGGTGTCTTTCTAAACACAATAGACCCCTGACTTTAAACATTTGACATGGACGTAATTTATTCACAAGCAGCCACAAAAGTTTGAAGAAAGCTAAGTTTGAGAAGGCCCAATATCAAGATGCTGTGAGGCTGGCATGTGGGAAAACTCTCTTAGTGTGTGGAGAGGGTGTGGTGTGTATGCAACCGAGCATCCACATTTTACACGCAGTACTCTCCAAAGGCGGCGGAATCAGTCTATCTTTAAGAAGTGGCTGCTCTTCAGCCCAGGGTTCCTCCTGGGAGGTGGAGCTGACCAGTCAGCTTTGCCCTGAACCTTCAACCTGGGCAATAATTCAAGGGGGGGTTGGTGGTGCAAGTTGCTTCATGAGGGGGACAGAATGGGTTCGGTAGTAAAAGGAATGGACTAGACTCAGAATGAGATAGAAATTAAAATCAAGATTTGGTACAGAAGTCCTTTAAGCACCATGGAGGCCAGCAAAACTCAATAAAGCTTTGATGTGTACTTGCTGGTGTTTTAAAAATCATGACCTAAAGTTTTCAACTTGCTTTATTTATTATGTAGAGAACATAACAGCCGATGGTGGCATTTAGCCTTTGAGATTCATTAAGTTCTTGAGACAGATCATCTGAGGAATGTAAAGGGCCAGAAAAGATCCGTTTCGTGTGATAAACAATTAACAGTGGGTTCCACGGCTGACCCTCGGTGCTTAAACCAGGAGGTTACAATCTAGTCCTAGAGGTCTGTCCTGAAAAATCCAACTGCATGTGACTAATCTTAAAACTGGATGTGTACTTGGAGCCTTACTTTATTCACAGATACTAAGTTGACTTAACTCAGTGTGTTTATTTTCATTTAAGGAAAATAGTCCTCCATCTCCAGAATGCTTACATTTACAGGTCTCCCCAAGTGACCATTGGTGGAGACCAATTAATGAAGGAACAAAATTAGCTCTTTTGGAACTGTGGTATTCTGCAGAGCTACACTTACCACTTTTTCCAATGAGGAGTCTACATAATTCTGAAGTAAGGATGGCCAAGAATTTGTATCTACAGCGTTTTATGTATTTTTGACACTGCTGTATTCTGTGTGATCTAATGACTTGTAACTGGTTCCAATGTGACTGAGTGTTCTGTAAGAATCCTAGTAACAAGTCGACTTCATTTTCTTAAGCCTGATATCCCAATCAGTCTCACATTTGCCATTTTGATTTCAGTCTTTTTAACTGTTCATAAGGGCATACCAAGGGTTGGGATGAGCGCCTACCTCCTACCTCTTAAGGCACTTTGCTCATTATATTTGCCATATAACCTTGAAGTGCATGATAAGCTGTTTCAATGTCCATGACTTCTCCCAGAGCAACTAGCAGAGTACATGACATTGAATTGAGATGATTGGAAAGAAGAATTTATAGACATAAGTTCACGGGTGTGAACCTCAAGAAAACCTTTAGAGCACATGAGTCCGTTCTATGTATCTGAGTAGAGAATCTGATAGTCCTCTCAAACTGGGTTACTTCAGCATCTAATGGAAGTGAAGCTCTTTATTCCCATTTTCATTATAGTACTGATTGAACCCTATACTGATATTTTCAAACAAGTATTTAAAAGTTTTAAATACAAAGCAAGGGCATAAGTATAAAGAATCTGGTTTGTGTTTGTGTGAGTACTCTATGATCTAAAGCTTTACTTTTTAAATAAAAACTTTAAAAAGCTTCAAGGTATTGCCATTCCTTAGCATCCTGAATGACTATGGGTGATGAGTTTTTTCTTAAGATTATGTGCATTAATTAGGTTTATCTTAACTCTTACCCTAAAGAAAAGGGAAATGTACACCTGAGGGATGTGATTATTTTACATTTTTTGGCCATGGGTGGGAATAGGGTGGAAATCTACTTCAGTTTTTTAAAAAGAAAATCACAAATATTTTTCTACTATTGTATATGATCTTACTTTCTACTAGTTTCTAGTAAGGCATGCCAGAAGCCCAAGGTCCCATATCATGAGTTCATATGTATTGTATCTTTTATCGGTGGTTAAATCGCATCAGATGCTTTGCACTGCTGCCATAATTATGAAATGCTTGTAAAGGATAAAATATCACTGAATAAATTGTTGAAGAATCTAATCTGGGAAGTTTTCAAATCATACTATTAGTGTGTAATTGAAGCTCTTTCTGATGTATCCACAAACCATCCTGGAACAATATT